AGAATCCAAACAAAACACAGAGAGGGCGGAATTCAGGAATTTGTATTTAGCGGAATTCTTATGCAATTCATATAAGAAGCATATTAACAGTCAACAGTAAGTATTTAAACAATACAGAGATAGAAATAGTCATTCACCACAGACACCATGAGGTGGACATCATGAAATCCTTCCAAATTATCAGTAGACAATATGGTGCGATTCTCCTCATGCTTGCTACAGCAATCACTTTGATAAGCTTGAAACGCAATTCCTTTATTCAGAAAGAAACAGTCATCAGTTTTTCCTCTGTCTGACAAGTGAATGCCTTCATTCTCTCCTTGAGTCGGTTGAATAACCCCTTAGTGTAACGTATTCTCTACATTCAATCCACTGTTATTCTGCTTTCCTCTTGTTTCTGTGACCTCACAGTTGGATCAACCAAAGTGCTACTCAATTCATTAGATACTCATCGACTTACTCACCCGTTGTCTTTATTGATTAAATACTTTGCCATTTAGACAAACGTCTAATTTGTTTAAACTAAAACTTTCTTAGCATAAGTCACTATGATTATCTGTAACAGTAGTATTTCGTCGTGACCAAATTACAGGAAATCAACCAACAACACAGAGAGAGAGATGAATTTAGGAATTCGTGTTTGGCGGAATTATCTGCGATTCATGTATCAAATACCTTAACAAACAACAGTAAGTATTTAAACAATACAGTGATAGAAATTGTCAGTCACCACAGTCATCTGAGTATCATTTCATCGGAATGTTTATCATGACTGTAATCTCCTGTCAACTATCATTTCGTACGTATCATTTGCAAATAATTGAAAGCCATTCTGTACATGAACTCAATAAATTGTTTAAGCTACACGTTGCTGGTGAGAAGCCAACGAGTTAGGTGATGGTATCGTCTTATTCTGCACCAGCTCGCGTTCATGCTTTATTCAAATTGATAAAGTAGAGTAAGTCCATGAAATCAATGTATACTTCGGTAGAATTTTGGTCAGGAGCTGACACCACTTAGATAACTAGTGAGTGCCAATAGGAAATACTGGTGAGTTGCTTTTTCGTTGTCTAAAGCTCCACGAAAGCATACACCTACAATAGTAAAAACATCAGACCTTCCAGTTACAAAAAAATCTCCTAGACCATTCAGCTGCTTGGATCCGATTCAGTTGACAGTCCATGAATTCCGAATTCTACCGATTTCTCGTTTCACTGTGATAACTAGTCAATGTCACCTGTGAGTATTTCTCATCATGTATGACACTGTGGACCCATTTAATGTTACTGACTAGTCACTACAACTCTATTCAACTTTGTACTCCAGCCTGTACCTCCGTAATCGAACCTAAAGTGACTCCGCTTCCTCCAAATTAACCCTTTTAAATAACTTATTAATTAAGTAGATAGATTAGTTATTTAGTGAGAGATTCAGATATAATGGAGAATATTTGTAAATCAGATTGATAATTATGGTAAAGTGGAATTCTCTGAGCTGGATAGTTTAGTTGAAAAGCATTCGTCGCAAAGTTGACAGGTGAATTAACGTGCGCGAATGTAAAATGTGTGTGTTAAGCAGACAGAGCACTTGGAAGAAATTCGATAAAACCCAAATAGAAATCTTTTCTACAGAACATTGAATTATAAAGATAAACATACAGCTTTAACTCTCTTAATTTGAAGCGTTTATTGAGTTAAGTTGTTTGATATGATATACGTGTATTGGTCATGATGGAAAAAAGGGAAGGATGCGTTTTTTGCCGCGGACTGTCAACGTAGTTGAAGATTGAACGATCAATTCATGGTTGTTTGCTCAAACCCAACTCCACCATATTTTTCGCAGGAGTCATCAATCCATCAGTCATCGTCTCATAGTTCGCTGTTCGTTGGAAGAGAGAAAACTATCAGAAGTATTATCGTGATTTATTGTTACAACATTTATTCTTAGACCTTGTGTGTGATAACCTTATTGTTGGTTGCATATTGGGGTAAGATCAAATGATTCTCAAATGGCAAGCCTCTGTTCTGGTTTTTTCGTGTTGGTTCTTAGAAATTGTTTCTGAAGGTCTTCGAGTGACACAGTGTGGTCCAGTGTAATAAGACCTGGACATTGAGAGCTTATTCAATTTAAAAAAACACAACTCGCAGACTGGAGAAATGGTTGTGGAGATTGATTAGCCTCAATTAAAATATGTCGCCTGAGTAGTCCATTGGTAGAATGCTGACCAACTATGCATACGGTCCGAGGTTCACTTCCCAGTTGACGTATTCTATGAAGTACACACAATTAGCTAACTGGCAATTAGACAGGATATAGTGGAATGTGAGGGTGAGGTTATGACTTCACTGAGACGACGCAAGAAGGCGGGGAGCGGCGGAATAACATACTTCCGTAAACTGAGTTCTACATTCTCCTTAGTAAAGTAAAACGCCAAATCGATCGGCCAAATCACGAAGTTTATTTCGTGAACCAATTGTTCAGGAGTATTGAATGCTTAACTAGATAGAGATCGTGCACGAACGAACTTAACACGAGAGCGTTCCAAATGGCAGGGGGGCTTGACAGCTAGCCTCCAGCTAATCAATTTGACTCAAACTCTGAGGTTCAGATTGCAATATTCAGTGATCAACGTTGTGACCAATAATTCTGGGGAACTACCTACCGCCAAGGAGTAAATCGCGGATCGAAGGTGGCCACAGTCCACAAGATATTCCCTACGTATCATTCTTACACCACACTGAAGCTTAATTCTCACTCATTATGATTATTTCCACTCAGCGTGGTATCAACACAAATCTGTCAACCAAAGACATCTGTCGTAAACAAATTTGTAAACGAGAATAAACAACTTCCATTGACGCCGGACAATTGATAATTTGTATTTATCGCAAACGTTGTCAATGATAGAGACTCCCCATAAGATTTGGTCGCCGAAAATTCAAAAGCAACTATTGTCTGTATTCTCAGAAGTGACACTATTTCAAGAGTGACAGATGACATTCCTTATTCAAATTAAAAGTATATCGCTTGATTTTGAGCATACATGAAGTGTATCGTGTCAGACAAGATATCAGGCTGATGGTAATGTGGTATTCATTGTTATCGGTTCAGCGAAACCACTGACTTTGTCAGGCCGTAGTACTTGCTAGGGAAATGAAGATGACAGCCTTGTTGTCTCCCATCCATACGAGGACTAATTTAAACAAAGAAACTATTCATTGTTCACTGACATTTACATCAGGTGAATGAGATAAACAGGGCTAGTGAAAAAACAATGGGAATACAAAGTGACACGCAGTAGAGTTTGAAAAGTTAGATTCACGCATTACGCAACCAAGTACTGAACGGAGATAAT